GATCTGAGATTCAAATAAAGATTTGAATCTGGTAATCTCCTGATAAGATCAGGAGTGGGCTGACATAATCTACAGATAGGATTAAGATAATTCTCTATCCAAATACAGATTTGGATTAGGATAACTCCGAATAGGATTATGAGGTTTCTTAATCACTAAGAAAGAGGAGAAACCCTAGTCTTGAATTACTAGAATTCGAACCAAGGGTTTTAGTAGATACACTCACCTCCTGCAGTTTTGAGATTGGATCTCAGAAACCCTTGAGAGAAGAAAAGCAAATACGCCAACTTCAGCTCTAGAGTTCTCCTTCAGCCACCGCCGCCATTCACTGCCTGGTTTGATCTCTCTGAGAGGAAAAGATCAAGAAGGTGTTCTTGATATCAGTCTTTGTTGAAAGGCTGATTGTGTACGATGCTCTTCGCTTCCATCGAATTCTTGTGCAGAATTTGGTTCGTAGGACGAACACTGTTGGTTCTGTTCTAGTGTCACTGCGTCATCTTCAGTGGAAGCAGATCTTGGGAGTATTCTTTGGGCGTGAACATTGACGTTGGGAGATACTGATTCTCTATATCAGGTATAACCCTTCCCTTTCTCTTTGGTTCAGACCAGGTTCGGTTTTGGTTTGATTAGATCATTGAATATTGTATTCTAAAATCAGGATTCCCAATTGGAAGGGAGGAGAGAAATTTTTGAAATTCGCCCACCCTATTCTGCTGCTTTCTTKGCGTCCATACGATGGATATCTCCCTCTTTTCAGTGGTATCAGAGCCATAGGTTCGAATCTTGAACCAAGAAAATCAGATCTGAATCTGCGCAAATGGGCAGAAGCTGTTCTACCTGGATTTTTGCAGTTTGTTGTTTATTCCAAGAAATTGTTTCTAGATGTGAGCGATTGATCTAAAATTAATTTTTGTTAAATCTGAAATTTATTTGGAAATGTTCTTGATATATTTTTTGATTTAAATGGGCTGTTCGTACAAGGAGATCGAAGTACAGATTTGGTGCAGATAGTCTGTGCAATCTTTTTGTAGTTACTATTCTATTCGGTCTGTAAAATATTTTTTTTTTCTAGACTGAATGTATAGGATTCAATCAAGAATGTAATTAATTAATAGAAAACAAGTTTTTGTATTTTTTATTTTCTTGATTGAAGATGGCGGCGGCGGTGGAGATTTGTAGATCGTGATATCGCATTCTGCGTTTTGCAGTTTGTGAAACTGCGACCCTTGATTACTAACCTCTGTTTTGCAGGTAGTACGAATAGTCCATATCTGATTTGTGATTGTCTAAAATCAGAAATATTAATTTCAGATCTTTCTTGAATTGTTTCTTGAATTAAAAATTGGTTTTGGACCGTTTCGGACCAGATTGGACCAAAGTTGTTTGGGCCGAATCTAGGGTTCGAACAGGGCTGTTCTCAGCCTTGATTACTTCCACTTTCAGGTCTGAAACTAATGTTTAGTTGGAAGAACCAATTCGGCCCAACCTATAAAGCCCAGTTTTAAAGAGTTAAAACTGCAAAAGCCCACTTTTGTGTAAAAGCTATGTGGGCTGAACTACTAACTACTATTCAGCCCATATACCTAGACAATGTTAATTGTTAATATTATGGTTTTTAAATGGGCTTGTTAGTGGGCTTTATAGCAAGTAATTGATTGGATCAATTCTTCCATTACATGCGATGTGTGGATTTTGATGTGCTGCGACCATGGGCCATAAGCACTTGGCCC